TTTATTCAATTCGACATTTAACGGTGATTCTTTGGCCTTTTCAATGATCTCTTTCCGTTGTTGCCTAGCATAGTAATTGTTACTTTAATAACTAAATGCCACGATAATAAAATGTGGTTGTTTGGTTCAGTAATTACGACAGAATGATACTGATTTACAATTTATGCAATCAAGCAAATCATACCACATTATTGATTTCAATCATCTTGGGTGTTTAATCGAAAATCAGCCTAGAATATCTCTATGTCATTTAGCAGCTAATCTTATTCTTAAATTTCATGTCGAATATAACAACACGGTGTGGGGTTGACTCTGAACTAAAATCAATAAATCATGAAGATACCTATAAAAAAAAACCAATAAAAAAATAACCACTTCTATTGCTAATGTTAAAATAGTATGATTTCTAAGAATCCTTGATTTTTAGGCTACATTTTACATTCACGAATTAATTAATATTCATTTCAAGTTTCAAATAGGAACTCCTCAGAAGTCATTCATTCATTCATATGAAGTACTCCTTTGGCTACTAGTTAACATCAGTCATAGAGTTAGTTGATTACTGATGCATGACTACAGTACAAATGGAACTGAACTCATTCTATACATTAAAAGCTTTCAAAAAGTTCTTTTCTCTCAGCTGGATTATTCATAACACAAAACATAAGTATTTGCGGGAAATCCAGTCACTATTATTTAAGTAATGTTCAATCAAGTTTGGTGATTCATTCTCCTCAATACGAATTTACATTTAAATAAATAACCGTTGAATTCACCTAACTTATAAACATTTGCTTAAAAATTTTATACAAATAAATGTCTCTATCATATTAGTAATAAACCGTAGATGCTAAGATCTACTAATACAGTATTTTCACCATCGTTTCACAACAACTGATTTGATAATCTTATTAAAATCATCAATCAAACATTGTTAGACCACTATTAGAAATCTGGAAGCACTGAAAGACGGCCGTTTCGTCCTGGTTTGGGACTTTACAGTGGGGCTCTTCCACGACTCCCGTCTCTAGCAGAACTCGAACCTGGGACATTCTGTCTTGCACGCGAACGCCTAACCGCCGGACCACTGGGCTGGCATCCAACGCTGATGAGTCCCATACCAGGACGAAACGGCCGTCTTCCAGTGTCATTCCAGGTTTCTAATGGTAGTCTAACAATGATTGGTTGGTGACTTCAAATGTGTAAAAATCAATAATCTCCATAGCTCTAATTGCAAAATTATTATTACTATTGATCGTGCTTTAATAAATGTATTTTAGTGCTCATTTTTGTCATGTAATCAAATAGTTAATTTCTTGAATAAAATACATGCTAAAAATACATGCTGTAAATAGAAAAGTCGTTTCATGTTTATTGTTTGTTTGTTTTTTCACAACATGAATTACCTTCAATATGTAAATGGTAATTATGTGAAAACACGAGACATTTTTTGTCAGTGAAATAATAATGTACATAGAATAGTAATTTTTATTAATGTCACACAGCCTACATCTATATTAAATTAGATTGCTTTAATTTGTGTTGCAATGATTTGGAATTTATTATAACTTATCATATCTCAATGAAATCTTAACTCCATTGTAAATTTACATATTGTTATTAGTAGTCAAGTTATTTCTCATGACTGTTGTTTGTCTAAAGAAATCAAATTCTATAATCTGCTCTGAATAAGTACTAAGATAACTAAAAGAGATGGTTCTGAGATCATTTGGTTGCTAATAACAGCTTTCTTCCCTTACAGTATCATTTCCGCTGCATATTTCATAGATTGCCATTGAGAAAGCAACAACGGATGGAATCAAGATGGTGGAGAAAATTTGTAGCTCAGGTGGATGATAATGGTGGTGTTTCGTTCTTTTAGCTGGGTGTTTTGGTTGTGGAGATATCATTGTTCGCATGAACAACGTCGTCAGCAAAAACTTCAAATAGATCAGAAGTATTCGAATTTCTCCACGTTTGACCTGTAGCTTGTTCTGCTAACCTCGATCTGGATTGGTTGCTATTGACCTTCAACTTGTCGTTGTTCGCACCTTAATTTTGATTGTATCCCCATTTTGATCTGTTTCTTGATCTCATGTCACCTAATTGGTTGATAAATTGGGTCAATGTCGATGTGTTTGTTGATTGCAGATTGACCTGAGTGCCAAGCTTCTAAAAATTCCCAAGTGTTCTTTCTACTCCCTCTAACCAATATTTCAACATTCCTTTGATCTACATAGGATTGATTGAAGTGATTTTGTTGGTTTGTGTACTACATCTATTCCAAATGGTTTCAGTGGTCGTGTTGTATGCTCCGATATGTCTTTTATGTATGGTAGGATAATCCGTTCATTGGTTTCTGTACTTGATTTTGCTTCTGTTGACGATTTCAGTTAATATTTTTTTGATAAAAATGCATAGATACCCATTCTTTTGGAAGATAGTCATCAGCTGCTTTTCCTTGTTTTCTAGTGCTTCGCTCTCTTGAACAAAGTTTGTATGCAGTTTATTTTGTAGGTTCTTGAGTTGTAGCTACCGTAGTTAAGAATTAAGTCTGTGTAGGTTGACTTCCGAACTACTTGAGTTTCCAGTTATCCTATGTTCGTTCTGGTGATTAGTACACGCAGGAATGATAGACTCCTGTTTGATTTCTTTCCCATGGAATCTTTAATTCTTTCCATTGTATCATTTAATCATATTGTGGTAGACAATTTATTCATTGATCGCAAACTAAATTCAATGATCTTATGCATAGATGTTTTTTTCTATTACCATTTTTTATGAAATGCAAGTCTTGACAGGCTTTTAAACTACAAATTACTATTTTAAGTTTTATCAAACATATTAATTACAAAATTAAATGAATAGTTGATTGATTCTTTTTAAACAATGTTTACAATGAAGAGATTATACTAAAAACATGTTTTTTTTAATCGTTATTTTTTATATTACTATACATACTGTTCAATTAATATTTGTCACAATATGTTGTTTAAGTGTATTGTTCAATTAAAGAGTGAATAACGATGACGAAATTTTAAATGTGTAAATGTTTTGAACACATGATTTTTTCCTCCAAAAGAAAAAAAATGAATCATAATGATTCTAAGTAAAATCTTCAAAATTGCTATTTCGTTCACCAACAAATATATGATCCATAGAATATCATAAATCTTTGTAAAGTATTTAAATACACTATTCTTAGGAATAGTAGGCGAGGTATCCGTTTGATGACTAAAGGACGAGTATACTTCGCAGTAGTTCGCTCCTTTGTTCTACTTTATGGTTGTGAAACAAGGCCGGTAAGAATAGAAGATATTCATAGGTTACTAGTATTTGATCATAGATATCTTTGAAGCATTGCTCGTGTATCCTGAGACAACCGAGGAAGCATTGTTGTTATTAGGAAACGAGTACTAGGTAAGGATGGAAGGTCAGTAGATGAAGTGATGAAACTTCATCAGTTGAGGTGGTTGGGACATGTTCTGCGTATGCCTGACCACCGACTGCCTCGATGAGTTATGTTTTGTGGTGTCGGAGTAGGTTGGTAGAAAGCTATGGGAGGCCAGACCAAAACATGGCAGAAATGCATGAAGTCATTGACGAGTGGACTTAGCCATGTCGGTAATTGTCGACTACCTGGTTGGGGTCCGCGAGACGATAATAATCGATGGTTAGAGACCCTGAATGACATGGCTTAAAACCGTTTGCAATGGCGCAGGTTCATTCATTCTTTATGTTCCATGAAATTTCAACCCTCTGAATTCCTCATCACATTTATCTTTCTCTTCCTAAATTTACCTCACCGAATTATACTTTTTGAATAACACCTTCGAACTCTAATCTTTCTGATTACTTCTAATACTCTTACTACCTCTACTACTTTGAGATTTGAATTGACAATTATATCTCTGTGCTAATGTGGTATGGCAACTGGAACTACTGTACTTATGTGCAAAGTTCTACGTTGCTGTTGATCAACTGATTAATTGGTTGAGGAATAGTAATGATTATAAATTTTCAATTGGTAGTTTATCATTGATAATTAATTGAACCTCTAGAATATGAATAAAACAACCACAAGTATGGTAGAAACTTTGCTTACAAATTAGTCAACATAAATGATGATTAATCTTTTTAGATAGAAATTTTTATATTGAGTTATCAAATCTTTATTTATTTCTCCATGATTTATTTATTCATGTGAAAACATAAAAATTCGCATCGATCTTCTTGTCATGTCGACCTCTCACTGTTTTTCTTCTTGCAATAATCATAATCAGTTCATACATCATACAGTCGGTATAATAATGTATTCAAATCTCCTGCTTGTTCACATTCATTTTGTTGATGCTATTTATTAGGATGCTGTTAGGATATTCATCAAATATCCTAAGAGAATTATTTTTGTAAATCTAATTCTATTGGTCAATTCCTTACTGGTCAATATTATGGTCTTCCTAGCTATCAATGTCACATACTTCAGTGTTGTTTCCCATTGGTCATCCTCACTGCCAATATCACAGAATTCATTGTTGTTTCCTATTCTACCTAACTGTATAAGTACGCATTATCTGTAATGTTTTATGACCCAAACCCGGATCCTTAGTGTGGGAACCTTAACCTTTCCTGAATTCGGACCTCGTACTTTCTGGATGCTTGTAGAATACAGGTTCTTCTTCATATCAAGTCTTCTTCTTTTACTCAATGGGGGTTTAGGACAATCGGATTAGAGTAGCCTGTCGTGTTGCCGGATCGTTGATCCTCGCTCTCTCATTTTCCGACTAAGGTAAACTCGTAATTGTTCAAGCATATCAAAAATGACATGTTTACGTGCATGCGTAACTGATGCCTATAGAAAAATGTCAATCTATTATTTGAAATTTCTCATTATCAATACATGATATACATAAGTTTTGATTTCCATATACTTCAATACTCTATATTTCATTTACTACTTCTTCAAGGTCATTCGGTCATTGTTTTTACTTTTCTTTTAGGGATCAAGGAAAAATATCACATCATATTTGAATTCTACAACTAAAAATATAAAATTCACTGGATATTGTCATACTACTATAACTAATTTAGAAGTGGAATGGACAGAGCCAGGTCAAACAAATCCATGGATGTTAACATTTTTTTTCAAATTATATTCCAATGAATATTATTCACTTGATACAACTAGCTTTGCTTATGAATTGAATGATGGTGAGTTAAATTTTATGTGTATTGTATTTAAAGAAAATTACAGAGTTACTCATTAAAATCGGAAAACCGTATCGTAAATCGTTCATTTGCAAAATATCAGTCCATCATCTCGAACTAGACTGTTCCTGTTGCAAAACATCAATCCATTGTCACTATTCATGCGTTTCATACAAATTCCATTGTGTTCTAACTCTTCCTTTCTTGATCTTACCCCATCTACTGCTGCTAGACATTACGTTGGCACTCACGTCTATACTACTTATAAGTAGCTCATACCACAATATGAGTTAATTGTGTTTAAAAGTGAAATGTGTTTATTTTCTGTATATATTTTTAAAATTTTTGAAAATTAATTTGTTCAGTTAATGAATGAAAGAATAATTAATGATCGATCACATAGTTTAAAAGTAGTAAACAGCTTTAGAATTTGTAGCACTTGTTTCGTTCCATTTGTAAATTTTTCAGTCTGATATTCTTTCTTGCATTAGAGTTGGTGCTCGCATTACAGCTCCAACTCATACATTCAGAAACCCTAGTGTACTTATGTGCGTACTAATAGATCGAGCCTAAATGGCTTATCCCATTCTTCTTGAGTTATTCACACGTTTTTTAACCTTGTCAGTTGCTTGTTGGTTGCTTTTACTTGAGTGCGTATATAAATTGCTTACTTCACTCATTACATGTCTAGCCTATTTCGCCTGACTACAAATACTTAGTCCATGCCTTATAACATTGAGTTAGCTTACTCACCTTCTCTACTTCACTTTCCTTCGCTACGCATTTACGCTTCGCATTCCATTGTCTATCTACTTAAATGAATATATGAAACAATTTCATCCGCAAAATTGCCGTCACACAAACGAAGTTCGCATATTCAAACATTCGTAAGAGATAGAGTCAGGACCCGGGACAATGTAAGCTTTCTTTAGCTAGTATAGCGACTAGTTCACTATGAAATATATTTTAATAATTGAAGTTAGGTGTTTTACCTTTGAAATTCATGTTCTTATTTGATAAAGTCAATTCTCAATCGAAGCTCTAGTGATAACAAACTTCCTATTTGCTTACATAATATTACATAATACAATACGGAAGTATAATATATTTTATTATCATGTATTTTGTCTTACTTACTTACTTACTTACTTACTTACGCCTGTTACCCCCAATTGAGCGTAGGCCGCCCACCAGTTTTCTGCAACCAACTCTGTCCTGGGTTACCCTTTCTAGTTCTTCCCAGTTTTCGTTCATTCTTCTCATGTCTTTCTCTATTTCTCGGCGTAATGACCCTGAAAGTTCCATGTGAGGGCTTGTCTTGTGACGCACTTAGGTGCTTTTCTCAATATGTGTCCTGTCCACTTCCACCACTTCTTCCTCATTTCCTCCTCCACTGGAATCTTGTTTGTTCTCTCTCACAGTACGTTGATGCTGATCGTGTCTGGTCAACGAATCCGAATCTGTTAATAAATACTTGTATCCTCTGGATGATGGCTTTGGTAGTTCTCCAAGTTTCCGCTCCATACAGTAGAACTGCCTTGACATTTGTATTGAAAATCCTGATTTTGGTGTTGATTGACATTTGTTTGGAGTTCCAGATATTTTTCAATTGTAAAAATGCAGCCCTTACTTTGCCGATCCGCGCCCTCATATCTGCATCGGATCCACCTTGGCTGTCGATGATGTTGCCCATATATGTAAAGGTGTTAATGTCCTCCAAGGCATCTCCATCAAGAGTGATTTGGTTGGTGCATGTTGTTTTGCATCGGAGAATTTTGATTTTTCCTTTATGTATGTTGAGACCTACTTCTGCTGAGGCTGCTGCTACACTGGTTGTCTTCTCTTGCATTTGTTGTTGCGTGTACGATAGAAGAGCCAGGTCATATGCGAAGTCCAGATCGTCCAGCAGCGTCCCAGCTGTCCATTGAACACCGTGCTTCCCTTCAGATGTTGACGTCTTCATAATCCAGTCTCACCAGAAGGAGAAAGAGAAAGAGTGAGAATAAGCAACTTTGCCTGACACCGGTCTTCACCTCGAAAGAGTCTGTTAGCTGTCCCCCATGCACGATTTTGCAGTTGAATCCATCACAAGAATTCTGTATTTCAGCATCTTTTCGCACATATAAGCTTTCTACTCACTTATTATGAAATAATTATTTGAAAAAATTATAGAAATCACAAAGATTTGAATCTCAACTGGATTATTTCATCGATGTTTTATCTCAATCAGGTGGATTAATCATACAGCTTGCATTGTGATTCAAGACAATGTCACTAGATTGTTTTAAATCACTTCCACTTTGTCTATTCGTTTCCAAAAGTTTCATCTAGTAATTTATCAGAATCTTCAATCCTTATATATGTTCGTTTTATTTTTTAAAGATTTACCCTATCAATAAATATCATGTTCATAAATTATTAAACTTTTATAGTGATTAACAGTAAGATATATGATATAAATTTTAACGAATGTACAACTCAGTTAAATGTACCTTGATTTCACCTAATAATAATTCAGTTCCTTATCGAGCTTACAGAACTCATTAACATCAAAAGTGACCTACTAGGTAGCCACTTTTATTCACACAAATTCTTTGTCACCGGGATCGCCATCATCTCTTTATATATTTACTAAAGTTGTCTTAAGACCATGAAATAAGAAATTTCCTCTTCAGCAATGTATATTCATGACGTTGCAAGCGGATGTCGAATCATGTACCTTCGATCTCACATAAAAATGCTTAACTTCATGACCACTGAGCCGGTCTCTATTGGTGTCAGTGTCTAACTGTATTCAGTTTAAGCTATTGCGTGATAATCTTCCATTATCTTGGATAGACACCTCTCTCTTACTCGACAAGTGTGGAATCCACTGATGAGCGCACGCTGTTGAGGAGTCCAGGTTTATCTTAGATTGATTTGTTATCGAAATAAAATTCAACAATATGCACAGCTTTTGTATAATTGGTTTAACAACTATCTTTCTTTGAAAAAATATGACGAATAAAGTTTGTCCACCATCTAAGAATTTTTTTTAAATGAATGTGAAATGTTCGTTCATATTATTACTTTTCAAGATTACTGTAGCTGAACGCATGAATCGTTGTTGCACAAATATAATTTGAAAACACGTTTGTCTTAATCTAGTACATTATCCTGATTTTATTTGCGTTTGACTAAATGAACTATTTTAAATACAAGGCAAACTGAATGTGATACAATAAATTACTTCAGTTACTTACTTACGCCTGTTACCGCGAATGAAGCATAGGCCGCTATCCTGCATTCTCCTTTCTAGTTCCACCCGATTGCTGTTCATTCTTATCATGTTTTCTTGATGATTGGGACATTCCGTGTTGCAATGCAGGATCTAGCTTTTTCCCTTGTGTATTTGGAGACCTACTGCTGCCTACTACAGTGGCCGCCCGGTTGGAGCACGATCAATCTTTGCTTAATCCAGCCTGTTGATCCAGGAGTTAGGCGTCCACTGAATCTTTCATTCGGTTTAACAACACGCTGTTAAAGACTCTGACTAGTATTGAGAATGGATTGATGCCTCTGTTGATCTCACACTTGCTGAGATTTCCTTTCTTTGCTATCCTAATGAGATGTCCATCTTTCCAGTTTGTTGGTATTTGTTTTTCTTGCGAAATCTTGCTGAAGTGTGGAGTGTGGAGTATCTTTGCAGTTGCTGCCACGTCTGCTCTTAGTGTTTTAGCTGATATACTGCCCGGTCATGTTACTTTGCCGCTCTTGATTTGTCTGATGACCATGCTGATCTCTTCAATCGTTAGTAAATAACCTCAATAGTTTTCTTTATCGCAAATCATGTTTTATTATGTTATTGTTGAATTCTTAATTGTCCCAATCGATATTTTACTCATTTAATGGTGACTGATAAACACATCTGAAATGGTTTGTATGCAACGAACTGCTAAAATTTTAAAAACACTTTACAACTAACTGTTCAGTCTATTTTATGTATATTGTATAGTAATTCATTTCTTACATTGAATGCTTGATTAAAGTCAATAATATTTATCTTTTAGGACTATCACATTACTTCTCTATCAATGTGTTTATTTAATCTAACAGTTAAGTTTTTCAGTTGAAGTCAATTCTTCAAAAATAAACTTTTATCTACTATCACCAGTTTTAATTATCTATCAAAGACCTACATACTGTCAAATTGTATATGTTATAAATCCCCCCATCCTAACCCCTAGAAAAACAAGTAACTAATCATTATGTAATAATTATTCCTTTAAAAATTTAACTCAGGTTGTGGTGCGAGCTACTTATAAGTAGTATATGACGTGAGTGTCAACGTAATGTCTGGCAGCAGAAGATGGGGTAAGATCAAGAAAGGAAGAGTTAGAACACAATGGAATTTGTATGAAACGCATGAATAGTGACAATGGATTGATGTTTTGCAACAGGAACAGTCCAGTTCGATATGATGAACTGATAGTTTGCAAATGAACGATTTACCATATGGTTTTCCTATTTTACTGAGTAACTCTGTAATTTTCGTGTTTGTGCTAACAATTGAAAATGTTTGACTTTTCAATGCATCAATGCTATAAATTTTTTTATGATTCATTTATTCCTTTTAGTGAGTATTCATTCATCTTCAAAAGATGAAGTATTTTCTGTTCGAAAAGATCAATATTACAATTGTACTAAATCACAAAAAATTGAACTTCATCCATTGGATAGAAATTATAGTACGGTACGTTTAGTATTCAAAAGTCTTGAGGTAGAAGCTTTTCGAGAAAGTCCTCAAACTGGTTACATTGGTACAGGTTAGTGTGAATTGTATAAATTATATATATATATATATATATATGGAGTATTTTGTACTAACAATTTTCTTATCATCCTTTCCTCAGAGTGTCATGAAAGAACATAGCTGATCTACAAAAATGTGATATTGTTTGCGCGGTTTAGTCACACACACACGTATGGAAAAATGATAAACGTCCACTAAATAACTGTTCAACAAATTAAAGTAGTTGATGAAAACAAAGAAGGGCATTATATGATATAATAGAATAGATTAGAATAGATTACTGTGTCAGAACAAACTGTTTCTGTTTACGTAATGGCAATCTAGTGTTATTTACTAGGCAAGGCTTCTTAAACCTCAAAAATGCATCTCTAACAATTTCTAATATGGATGTTGAGCTAAGCAGACTTAGGTCTATCAACGCGACCTCTTGGGTATTCAAAGAAATTCGATTCAAAAAAAAATAATTTTAACGTGCGATATTTCTACCGGTCGACCACGAGCATTTATACCGAAGCTGTTTAGACGAAAACTTTTTGAAGCAATGCATAATATATCACATCCAGGAATGAAGGCCACGATCAACCTGATCAGCGAGCACTTTGTATGATGGCCAAGTATGAACCGAAATGTTCGCAACTTGAAGCAGGCATGTATAAAAATGCCAGAAAATTAAAGTATATCGTCGAAAAGAACACATGAATGATATAAGAGTAACGCTTCCAAAGAAAAATCAGCACCGAGTATATATTTCGAAGCGACTGGACGACAGCACCTATATGTTTATCAGTAGGGATTTTGTGCGACGTCCCTTACAAAAGTCTTAATCGCTGTTTTAAAATTAATTATGTGCCTTGATCCAGTTGTGTTTGGCAAATGAGTATGGTTTTCTACACCGCTTCTTGTTTACATGTTCACCTGAGCAAAGGAATTGGTTAATGTTGTGTTGTGTGATGTAATCGTTCTTGTACAATGGCTTGAAAATCCAGTGACACTGAGTAGTTTCTATCTTCTATGTTTAAACTTCAGGAAAGTGGATACTTGTTTATATATATATACATATATATATATATACTATTTTAAATTTTTATATTGTTTCGCATTTCATTACTTCACACTATTAAATAGAATCACAGTGCTCCAGTGAAGAAGATGAAAGTTTAACATATATTATTGTCAGTATATCTATCTTTACTATGACTGTTGTTATGATATTTGTTTTATGCTTAAGCAATGATGAAAGTCTGATAGTTGGAGCTGCTCATTATAGATAATACAATGTATTTTAAATCATTGTTTAACTTTTCCAATAATATAAACCTATTCCGTTTGTTCAATCAATTTATTTATTTTTTCATAAACTATATGTTATCAGTTGATATTTAGAAGCATACGTTGTTTTTACTAGCTCAACATTCATATTCAGTATCTTTCGTTTACCAACCTTTATAAATATACATTTTTTCAAATGTTCCAACCTAATCAGTTCATATGCATAGTCAATGTTTGAATTTATATATTTTTTGATAACATGTATATCAGTTTAAATCAATCTGTAGAACATCTCGAAATTGGGGAACTGGTGAACAGCTTTGTTAAATTTTGATTTTAAAATCATCACCTATGAAGTCAGCCCCAGTATAGAGTAAGGTGGTTAATTGATCACAGCAGTGAATGATTCATTCAATAATTTACAGTTTAACTTATCTGATACTCATAATGTGACAACAATTTTTAAGTTTGATCCATCTATCATATTGGACGGATACTTCCAGTGAGGCTCGAGCTATTAAATAGGTGATTCAGTGCTCTATGGACGTGAGTAATTTGCCTGTTTATGTCTATCCACGGTTAAAACTACATACTCAGATTAAAATGAACCTCCATGTTAAATCTATAGAAGCGTTTAACAACACGATTGAGATACGCTTCAAATTGATGTTCTGCTAAAACCATGATCTGTCTAGACGACGTTCTTTTATTCATGAATATACATAAATTGGGTACAAACTTCAATTGATGTCGTGTCTAAAGCAATTAACGCGACTGTATAACAATATAATCAAGAATAATTACGAAATACAGTAGAGTAAATGACAAGTGAGAGCCGTATCTAATGTTAGCAACAATGTAAAGATAACTAAACTGGAACTAACAGCAAACAAACATGGAATCTCTGATGTTCAAACAAAGATTCAGGCAATGTATAAAACATGTAATAACTGTTAAAAGCGTTGAAAGAAAGTGATGATAAATACTGATAATTAATATAATAAACACAAATGGTGTATGTGAAACTGTTGAAGATGATAAAACGTTACTGAATATAAATAAGTAGTATAAATTATAAAACAAATGAAACGAGAGAAGTATGGAGAGAATAGCGATAAATGTGAAAGGCCAAAAAAAATGTTAAAGAGGAATCAATTTAACTTTGAGTCTTCTAGTCATTTGCAAACAGTCTGACACTGTCATACACATATAGTTTTTCTAACTATCTAGACCGTTAAGTTGAAATCGGACTGATAAGCCTATAGTTTATAAAGTAGGTTCGAAAGTGTTAATTTACTTATCTTATTTGAAAAAAAATTATATCCTGTGTATAGTTACAATATATTATATGAACTTACAACCTATAAATAAACGCATTCGAAATTCCTACATCTCTGGAGTATCTATTTCATCTGGCCATTGAATGTGTCAATCTAGTCTTGTCAAACATCTCGTAACCTCTTCTTAAGTACTTCGTCATCTGTGACCTTGTTAACTGTATAATATTATCCACTGATCGAGCTTGTTTGTCTGTTTAAAAAGTGAATATCTACAATGAAATTCGTTCGTTTCATTTCATATTAAGCTACTATTATCACCGCTACTCGACGGCATTGGACCAAGTATAATATATCGAAGTGAATATGAAATTCCTGCTTCATTGTACAGTCGTTGCCTATAATGTAGTCAGTTAGTTAGTTAGAATAATGAAATATTATATCTGAATTAACTTTGCATCTATTCATGAACTCAATCACTTTAGTGTATAACGAAATAACGTAAATCAAATATAAGAGTTCTTTGGCTACACATCCTGTACTTCTGTGAGTGCAAAAAAATAATGAGAAACATGAATTGCAGAAAACAAAACATACACACCCAAAATATTACTTATTACAAGTGTTAATATAGCTCAAATAATATGTGAACAGTTTGAGCGTTGAGAGAGACATAGCATAAGATAGAAAAGTATACAGAAACGCACCATAATGCACAAGATGAACAAGTGTAGTACTTGAACAGATACCCATATAAGAGACACATGTGCTGAATCTGATATTGATCACTTATAAAAAAGATATTTTATGGCACAATATCATCAAAACCTATTTTTATATTTCATAAATAAATCGACCATTGTTATCATAACTGTTAATCGTAATCAATTTACAGAAAGTGAAACAAAGTTTTGACAACAGTTTATTTTAAACAACTCAAAGTAAACGACTAGTAAGTTTATAATAAGGAAGATAAATTATCAAATGAAGTTAATCAATCAGATATATGAAACAGCATACAAATGAGTTGTCGAGAATGTCAAGCAATATTTCAGCGAGTAGAAATACATGTATGCATAGGCTGTTACATGCCATAAATCAAAAACATGAAGATATATACAAATTCAAATATCAGTAAATTATTATGGAATAAAAATAACATGAGGTTGCTAATTGAGCTAGTCAAATTGTCTAAGTAAACTACTTAATCGTCACGGTGTTCGATGTTTTAAAGTCTGTTGAAAAGCTAAAACAAACTTATATAGGTGTTATTATGAAATGTTGCTACTGGAATACTACAGTTAATTTGTTGTTCAAACACATTCCATTCTAGAAAATCTATAAGTAAGAGTTGCCAATACATTGCATCTCTGTATATTCAGATAATCTTAAAAGAAGTGCTTAGGACCGTGATAATTGTGACATTCTTTTAAAAGTAGTCTTATGGTGGCCAACGTATCACAAGTTTCGTGACGGTTGATACTCAACATGTTCGTCACCAAATGGCGCTTGACGGGTAAAAATCATTAGGTGAACACTAAGTGTTGAATACCTTTTATTTTTGACACACCACAAAATGGACCTGCAGACCACAAAAACACACCGCAAGCACACTGGCAAGCGAGTTGGCGAATCGGTGAATGTATTAATAAAATTAAAATGTTCATATATATACATAGGTAAATGTCGAGTCATCGAGATATTTAAGAGATTAACATTAAAGTTAATAGGATGAATATGCGCGTAGGTGTAAGCAATATTTAGTCGTACCAGCTCATACAAACAAGACAATAGCATAAGTGGCTTGGTTAAATAAGTTAATCGAAAGGCTTAACCAAATTAAATATATATGGAGGCACTACAGTGTAATTAGTTTGACTTGAAGATTTGTGACAGTGCAAACATGTTCATTATGCCTTCCAAAACTCTTACCGATCAATGTTAACTAGTAGTTATGATTGCGATATTTAGATCAACGATTGATTTGAAAAAAAACTCAATCCAAACTGAACATTATTTCACAAAAACAACTTAATTTGATCTACATCTAGATCTTCATTACAAACTTTGTTTTTTTTTGCCTTGCTATTAAAAACAAAAAGTGGACATACTTCGTGTTGCTTTTAATTCATTCGATGGATGCTTTCAATGCAATCTTGATCATTGCTTCTTCTAGTTTCAGGTCACCTTACTTCAGACGGGCTACTAGCATTGAGGTTATCGATTATCCCGGACACTTATAATGAATAGCATTTCCGATGACCACAACAGTATATAACTAGTTGTCAGGTGAAAATGAGACCTCATTTCAGAAATAAGTCATTTTTATTCGAACGATTTATAAGTTCATCCTATGAAGCGTGCGTTTCTAGTTCGTGGAAGCCAAAAATAAACCTGTCCAATAGTTCCAAATTCAAGTTAAGAATGCATAGAATACCACAGAATACCCATTTGGTTAAATTTTAGATCAGATTGTAGTGAACGAGAACACAGGTGGGGCAACCGGATTGCATTTAACGAAAATTACAGAGTTACTCAGTAAAATCGGAAAACCATATGGTAAATCGTTAATTTGCAAAATATCAGTCCATCATCTCGAACTGGACTGTTTCTGTTGCAAAACATCAATCGATTGTAACTATTCATGCGTTTCATACAAATTCCATTGTGTTCTAACTCTTCCTTTCTTGATCTTCCCCCATCTTCTGCTGCCAGACATTACGTTTTCACTCACGTCATATACTACTTATAAGTAGCTCACACCACAAGATAATTTAGTTCATCAACTACATTTTTTTGGACTAGTCAATTTCATAAAAGCCTGATTATAAGAAATAAAAACACCAGTTATCATTTGAATAACAGGATTTATTATCACCTAAAGGCGAAACGAACATTGTTCCTACGCGCCAACTGTTTTATTTTTTTTAACGAAAATATCCAAACTTATCTTTAAACCAAAAAAACATGTTCATTTATAAGATACGAACCATCTTGAAACTCCTGTCGAAACTTTGTGAAAAAATTCAGTTAATGATTGGGTGAATTTTCAGTCCTACGTAAGAAGAATGTGATTAGGACACCTATAAACTGTTAGTTGCATACTAGCATTATTTATATCTTGTGGAGTAAAATCTACCGCCCGTAATTCTCTAACCACCTCTCCCCTAGTCTATTCTTTACAGATGTTCCGAATCACTGTACGTATGTTTCGATGCCTGTCTTCGATCAACAGTGCAATCCTCTTTCATAACACATTTTTCTTGTTGCCTTCGAAATTTTAATTCAGAGCTTTATTTGTTGTGATGCATTCAACTGATTCCTACCATACGCTTCATATCCACCTCTTCTGAGAGACTTTTTGTTCCGTATCACAGTAGGCGTTATGCTGGAGATATCTGGCTAACGGGTACGCATTATCTGGCACAGATAACTACTCATAATTATTTGTATACTTTGGATAGTGGCTTTCGTTGCTCTCTAAGATTCAGCTTCATGCAATAGAACGATCTTGATGTTTGTTTTGAAAATTTTTTATTTTGGTACTAGCTGAGAGACAGTTTTTTTCTGCGTTCCAGGCTAAAGCCTATGTTTTACCGATCCGTGTCTTCATATTGGCTTTAGAGTCCTTTTGTTCATAGGTGATGCCGTTCAGATACGGAAAGGTTTCCGTTGTCCTCGATTTAGGGATGCTGTTTATTCTTCAATGTGTTGAGACCTAATGGTGCAGATGCTTCCAGTACACTGACTATAATAATGCAATGTTTAGAACTGTCTAATCCCGTACTCCAGTAGTCATACATGGACTAGTGTTATATTCAGAAAGAATGCCAACCGTACAATCCAAAGTATTGTATTTAAAATCAGGCACAGAATAATGTACAAGGAAATCGTCATTCTATTTCTGTGTTGTTGACACTTTTATTTTGTGGCAGTTTTGAAAACATTCAGTGACACAACTAACTTATTTTCCGAATATCGGAAGTTACTCCACGTTAAGAACATCGCTCTCATCAGGGGTCAGT